TATTTCGGATCAGCAGGATTCTACGCTTAGAATATCTGCGAGCTGTATTCTACTCGTTAGTTAGGCCAGATAAGCTCGGGAACCGGGAACGAGAAGAGATGGGACTTGCCAGATATTCTCTTGAACTTCGTAAATATTCTTAGCACGATGCTCCCGCGGATAGCCGAAATTTTCTAACTCCCATCGCTTCTTTTGTCTTCGGAGTGCTCCGAGGTCTGGAAGTCTCGCCTAACGAATGGAACTTGGGAACTATGCGTGTTCTTAATGGGTGCTTGCCGGCCGGTAAACGGAACAATAACAATGATACCGCGAAGAGAAAGGCCGGAGAATATTTTGAATAACGCCTCCGCAAACTTCTGTCTCACGCTAATGAAAGTAATTCTATGATCCTCGCTGGGCGGCGGCTGTGTCAATTCTGACCCGGAGTACTTAGATTCTTGTTGTAACGTGAATGTTACGTCAGGAACAATGGAAAGGCTGATAAGTCTGCGAGAATCTTCGGAATCTTCAAAATCTATCTTTGAGAATGACTAAATAAAGGTCGGCATTTGTTGTATATAGACTGCGAATCTTTATGCGAGATAAAGACTTTTTAACTCGATTGTAAAAAAAAGAACGGGAATGAAATAAAAATCTCTTCCTTTAATAATTTAAAAAGACTGAAGAAAAGATAGCAATGTTATTAAATTTTTCTAACGTGTTTACGTTTCGCTAGCTTTTTCAATCGTTTTTATATCGTAAATGGATAAAATTTATTTATTTATTTATTTATTTTATTAACGGCAGTATAGTATAATTTTAAATCCGTTGCATAAATTATTGTATTTCGTTCGGGGTTTAATTTATCGCATTTTATTTAGAGACGGGACACTCGATACCTCGAATCCTCGAAATCCCACGAAACTCGAAACCTCATGGCATTTTTGTGATTCGAAACACCCGAAACCCGGTTAAATAATAATTTGTATGAAAAAAAAAAAGAAAACTTACAAGAATATTGGCGACGATGGGAATTTATTTTCATTCGACCAATAACAGTCCAATTGAGCTCGCGCTCAGATTGAATCGGTCGCGATTGAATCGATACGATTTCACCGATCGATTACAATCGATTTGCATCGCGAGAGAGAGAGAGAGAGAGAGAGAGAGAGAGAAAACAATATTATAATTAAAACTAGAAGAAAGCGACCAATTTCTTCGCGCGAAAAATGCTACCATCGAGATGTCCAACTTATCTCCGTTCGTTTTAATCGAAGCTTTACAGGTAGGACGGTCGCGTAAGAAGCGAAACGCATCGATCAAATAACAATAGCAGACGGTTGACCTTTTTGCCGGAACGTCGCTGAATTTGCCGACCACTTGGGAAACAATTATCGGGACACAATCTCGCCTAAGGAGCAGATTACTCCCGTATGACTACTTAATGGTCCCTTCAAGGGAACCCTTCGGCCATCTTTCGGCCATCGTCTCCGCGGTTCTTTGGCCACACACATAGAGAGAGAGAGAGAGAGAGAGAGAGAGAAAGAGAGAGAGAGAGAGAGAGAGAGAGAGAGAGAGAGACATAGTTCCTTCCTTTGGGAGCGGAACGGGCTTTGATGGTCACGGGGATCTCCCGAAAGGGTCTCGGGGCTAAAAAGAGCCCGGTGATCCTTGTGCATCGCTGAAAGGGTCTCCCGTTTAACGGGCTCCTCTCTCTCCGCAGCCGGCCGGGAAAATTCTTGGGTGCCGGGAACGATCCGCGACGCGCATTGTTCCTCGGCTGTCCGCGCAAACGATTTCCGCGAAACGGTCGGCCGCGAAGTCACGTTTCCTCGTCGTTAACGAGCGTGCACCGAAAGTTGCAGCCAGCCGCGGCGGTGCAGCCTGACGGCGGCGAGGACGCACACGGCGCGGCTACCGGCGCGGCTCGCGGCGTCCCTGTCCCGTGTCCTTGGACTTTGTCGTTATTAATTGTCCAACCGACGGCGCGAAGAGCGAAGATAATGTGGTTGCGCAACAGGTACTACCACACCTGTGTCTGCCGCGTTGCATAATCGCGGGTAAGAACGGTGCTGTACGTGAAATCTTTGCGCGTGTACACCGTCGTCGTCGTCGTCGTCGTCGTCGTCGTCGTCGTGTCGGGAAAGGAATTCACCGTGAGCAATCGAACAAAAAGCGACGCGATCGCGGGGCCCCTGCCCCTTTCCCCGGGCTGCCGGCATTCTTCCACGATCCCCGGGTCGAGTCCTGGCGGAAACGATCTCCCGCGAGCAGCAGCAGCAGCAGCAGCGGCTTTGTGTCCTCTCGCGGCTGCCGCGGACCGCCGTCGAGCCGCCGCCGCGCCGGGACGAGGATAATCGTTCTTTCCTCGGCGAACACGTGACGCGATAACCCGTGACCCGGCAACTCATTTTCCCGATAATTATCGCGCCGCTCCACGGATGTCTGTCGCCTCGCAATAGGCCGGCAGCCGGAACACGCCTTAAACCACCGCGGAGATCTTTGTCTCGGCGAGCGCGGAACGAATCGCGAAATTCGCGGACGCGGGTGCACAGGGGAGAGAGAGAACGGACTTTTTCAAACCAACTCGCAGATCGACGCTGCACGTTTTCCGTGTGGCTTTTTTTCAGCCGCGCTGCTCTCCTGGACACCGTCGACTTATACCGTGGTCGATCCGCGGTGTCCATGATGCGGCGAATACAGTAATGTCTCCCTAACTGGCGCTCAGATTGTGCACAAAAATCGGCAATTTGGGAAGAGGAGATTCGTATCTCCTCGAATATCTCGAATATATATTTATATATATCGAATAATCGTTTATTCGAGCCTTGCGGCTCGTTTTTATAATTGTGGAAAATCGGTAACTATAAGAACGAGTCGCAAGGCTCGAATAATCGTATCTCCTCTTCCCAAATTGTCTATTTCTGTGGACAATCTGAGCGACAATTAGAGAGGCATTATTTTCACAGCGAATGCTCGCTAAATTGACCCTCGGCTTGGAAACCAAAATGGAGAATTTTGGAGGTTTTCGTCGAGTTATAGTCGGTCGAAGGTGACCGATTATTATCGAAAACTTCGTCCACGCTATGCACAGTAATTGCTCCCTAATTCGCACTGAGATCGCGCACAAAAATGGAGAAATTTGGAGTAGGAGGCACGATTAAATAAATATTATTATTATTATTGAAACCGAGATCAGAGCAACTTGTTTCATTTTTTAGCAATAGAGAAGACAGAAATGGTCGTAAAAATTACATCTGTGCTACTCTTAAATCTCGTGGATACAAAAGAATTTTGATTTTTAACAACTTTGATTTTCTAACAATAGAAAAAACAAGAATGAAGCTCGTAGATACGGAATTATTTGATTTTATTTCATATTATAACAACAGAGGAGACGAGAATGATTGTAGAAATTATATCAGCCCTATTCTTGAATCTCGCAGAGAAACACGACAATTCTAATTTATTTACTAAACTATAATAAAAATTGAATACACCAATTTTGCTAAAAAAAAAAAAGTGCTGTCTTCCGACATGGCAAGCATTGTTTCGAATTTAATCAAGCTTACGCGATTTGAAACTGTTTTCAGTCATTTAGCGTGCCACTGTTAGACACGGGGGCGAGCAAAGGGTTCACACCCTTTGCAGTTCTACGTCGAGTCGACGTTTACTCGACACTGACTGTGACATCACTAGTCACTTATTTTGCTGATTTAGGTTACGTTCTACGACTAGTGTTCGCAATTGCTCGGTACGTAAGAACAATTCTACCATTTCTCAGCTGTTCCAAACGGGTCACGAAAAACGCAAGGGAATACATGTTGGATCACAGAATGTTGCAGCAAATTCTGAAACAGGAACGGTGGAAACATTCTGAAACGCAAAGGATTAACGTTCAAAGGCGACGTTCATTTCATCGAATTAAGCTTCGCGTAATGGGGACATCGCTCGTGTTATGCGAGCATGTTATGCTACCCTTCGCGGCGCTGCAGCCTTCAGAAACTTTTGAAAAATTATGCGTATTTTGCGGAAGTCGCTCGCGAGACACGGTTATTTCATCGACACGCGGACGACGGGGTTCGGGTCCGTTCAGACCCACGATATAAATATCATCGTTCGACTATTTAGTTTCCGACGACTTTAGCTTCTCGAAGACTATAGCAAAACTAGCCTGACTAGAAGGAGTAGCTTAAAAAATCTGATTACATACAACGAAAGTGATTACATAAAATCATAAACGATCCCTAAGCACGCTCGGTCATATTTTTGTCAAAAAGATCTGCCGTCGAAGGGTTGAAAGCACTGTTATTTCGTCGAAAGCGTTGTTATTACGAATACTGTTATTTTTTTGCAGGAAATACGATCGACAACGGATGTTCCATCTTCGCACTAATCGCCATAATTATTTCCCAATCATTTGCATCCACTGTCAATCTTATTTTCCGCAAACAAAAATAACGCTATCCGTAATAACAGTGTTTTAATAATAACGTGTTCGAAGGATCGCGCGCGGCAGGCGCGAGATTCGTCGATTCGCACGGGAATCGAAAACATCCTGCGCACCATCGGCTGCTTCGGTCGGAATAACAGCGACCTGGCGGCAACTAATTAGGACAGGGAGCCACGAAGATCGAAATTTCGCGCGTTTTCCTGAGCGGTTCGCGGAATATCGGAAAAGCGGACGCACGTAAGGTTCGATCGCAGGCGACGGGAGAGCGTCGTCGAATCGACGTCGAATCGGAGATCGAACGCGTCCGACGATTGTCGGCGGTGGAACAAAGCTGCCGAGAGAATAATCCTATCGGCGAGCACGGAAACTAGTTGGAAATAAGTCTGCCGCGTAATAATTTCTGGAAGATTGAAGCCGCTCGAGGCGGGAATCAATCGACGAGCCCCGGTGAAACGTAATTAACCGCGTGGCCATTATTTCCGTATCGCGCGCGTTTCCTTGAATGACCGAGAAGACGACAGACACGGGGCCGGCTCTAATCCACGTTCCACGTTTTTTTCTGTTACAGATTGGAATCAACCCCGGATTGTTCGCGGCCTACAAGGGCCACCACTACGCCGGACCCGGGAACCATTTCTGTGAGTTCGAAACTTTCTTCTTTAATTAACGTTTATTTACTTCCGTCGTGCCGACAATGGCGAACGATTATTTATTTATTTATTTATTTATTTATTTATTTATGGGAAAGCCCATTAGCAGAATAGAGTAATATTTCGGTCAGAAATGTACGGAGATCGGAATTGAAACCGGCAGATCCGAGAATACTGAGTCGCGATTTTTCGGGCCTCGCAGCTCGTTTTTATGGAAACTCGGGACAGTCGGCGAAAAAAAGCAGCGGCCAGCATTCCCGGTGTACATTAATATGATTACATAGTAATGCTAGAATGAAGACGATGACTTAACTTTTTTTATTTCTAATTTTTTGCCACGATTCGAAGGCAATTCGGAGGCCACGTGACGCGATTCGAAGGAAANAATCCTATCGGCGAGCACGGAAACTAGTTGGAAATAAGTCTGCCGCGTAATAATTTCTGGAAGATTGAAGCCGCTCGAGGCGGGAATCAATCGACGAGCCCCGGTGAAACGTAATTAACCGCGTGGCCATTATTTCCGTATCGCGCGCGTTTCCTTGAATGACCGAGAAGACGACAGACACGGGGCCGGCTCTAATCCACGTTCCACGTTTTTTTCTGTTACAGATTGGAATCAACCCCGGATTGTTCGCGGCCTACAAGGGCCACCACTACGCCGGACCCGGGAACCATTTCTGTGAGTTCGAAACTTTCTTCTTTAATTAACGTTTATTTACTTCCGTCGTGCCGACAATGGCGAACGATTATTTATTTATTTATTTATTTATTTATTTATTTATGGGAAAGCCCATTAGCAGAATAGAGTAATATTTCGGTCAGAAATGTACGGAGATCGGAATTGAAACCGGCAGATCCGAGAATACTGAGTCGCGATTTTTCGGGCCTCGCAGCTCGTTTTTATGGAAACTCGGGACAGTCGGCGAAAAAAAGCAGCGGCCAGCATTCCCGGTGTACATTAATATGATTACATAGTAATGCTAGAATGAAGACGATGACTTAACTTTTTTTATTTCTAATTTTTTGCCACGATTCGAAGGCAATTCGGAGGCCACGTGACGCGATTCGAAGGAAATTCGGAGGCCACGTGACGCGATTCGAAGGAAATTCGGAGGCCACGTGCGACGAATCGAAGGCAATTCGGAGGCCATGTGACGTGATTCGAAGGCAATTCGGAGGCCACGTGACACGATTCGACGGCCACGTAGCAATAAATTACATAGGCGTAGGACTAGCACGGGGAAATTCACAGCAACCCAAAATTTTGTCATTTCCGGGAGAAATTACTGTAGTCAATTTTTAACACTGGATAACTTTCAAAAATAATTCTACAGCTATGAAAATTTTTCTGAAGCGTGAAATATTTATTATTTTATCATATTAAATCGAGGGTAGACATAGTAGCTTAACGGGAGAGCACGGAATGACGACTGACGAGAAATTACAAAGACGAAAATTACAAAATTACAATCGAGTGTTGGGAATTCGATCTGACTTTGACTTTCGTTGAAACACCGGTTCGAGTGTTCGAAGATGGTTTCGCACGGTGAACCGTAACAGTGTTTGCACTTTCGGTGATTTTTCGATGGGCTCGCCTAAACGAAGCGAAGGGTGTCGGGGAATAGAGTTCCAGGTTTAAGTACCTCGATCGCGCGGAATTATTTTGCAGGAGACCGACGCGTTCAGCCTGAAATGGTGTCCTGTTTCGTTAAAATTAAAAAACGCGGTTATCTTATTCTTGTTATTTTACTCTTCGCATAACGAATAAACAGAAAATAACTTTATTATATTTCGTATATTATACTCAATATATTCTTATTATAAAAATAATAATAGCAATAATAACAATAATAATAATAATACCTGAAAGCATAGCAAATTATTCTGACAGAATAGAGAACAAATTCAGCTGTAAATTCAGCTGTAATCATTTCACATGAACGATACATCCAAGGCGGTACTCTGACCGGCACACCTTAATTGTTAGCCGGGCCGTGCTCGTCAAAGGGTTGATATAAAAATCGTGTCAAGCAGAGGAGTGTGAACGCCGTGCGGCGCAAACACGATTGGACGGGGGAGCCTAAACGGCGGTGGGAAAGGTGCGAACCCGGTATATATAATAGTATAGATCCGAACGGTTCGCGGAACATCGTTGGGAGAGAGGACAGGCCGGAGCCGTGTTCCAGAACGTCTCCGTAGTTCTCGCGTTATAGGAGTTATCGGTGTTACGAGTTACCCGCGCGCGTGAAATCGCGCTCGTCACCGCTCAACTCGGCTCGGCTCGGCTCGACCCGACCCGACGAGACTCGTCGCAACGCCGGTTTTCATTCACGCGATTTCCACTCGGACGATTCCGATCTCCCGAGCCGGTTAATTAAGCTGACGCAAAGCGGCGATCGACGTCGAGCGCGGCTCGAGGAGTCGTCGATGAACGCGATGAAGTTTCATTCGGCGCGGGGCGAGACGGAGAAAAAGAGAGAACGAGAAAAAGAGAGAGAGAGAGAGAGAGAGAGACGTAGAGTGAGTGAGAGAGGGAGAAAGAAAAAAGAGAAGAAAAAATTCGCGATAACGCGAAAGTACGCTCGACTGGTTCGGGGAAAGAACGCGCTCGTTTCCACGACCTATTTTTCACCGATTCGAGTTACGAGCGCCGATAACTTCGACGGCAAAACGCGATTACGATCGAGCACGGCGAAGAGAGGGCGAGAGAACGCGGCGAGAGGAGAGCGAGAGAGGGAGAAAGAGAGGCGGCCGTGGGAGAGAAGGGTGGGTCTGGGATCGTTCGAGGGAAGAATAGGGCGCGCGAGGGCCACTCGATCGCGCGTAATCGGCCCTCGCCCTTCTCGCGATTTTCCTCGGGAAATCCTGCGCGATCCGCGGACGCTCGCGATTATTCAGCGAGAACGCAGTTGCTCGCTTGAACCGCGCCGCGGTTCGCCGTGATTTCAGCTGATCGAAAAAATTCGCTGGTTCTCCAATTTCTTCTTCGCTCTTTTTTTTCTCTCCCTTTTTCTTTTTTATCCGAGCTTGATCTCTCTCTCCCTCTCACTCTCTCACTCTCTCTCTCTCTCTTTTTCTCTCACTCTCTCTCTTTCTCTCTCTCTCTCTCTCTCTCTCTCTCTCTCTCTCTCCCTCCCTCTCGAGCGGTCAACGCGATCGACCGAGACAACGATCATCGTTTATTTTTAACGCGCTCCCGGCGGAAAGCAGAACGAGACTCTCGACGTGGCCGCCTAGCAGCGTAGAAGCGTCTTGGCGCCTGGTTGCCGATGCCAGGCGATGGTTCGTTCGCGCGCCCATCGAGCCCACTCGATTCCGCACGCTATATTGCGCCTCGGCGAGCAGAGCAGAGCCGAGCCGAGCGGAGCCGAGCCGCGCGCGGCGCGCCGCACAGCGTCGATCGTCAATGCACAAGATTCAAAAAAAGTCACTGCTTCGTATCTATTCGAAGCTGTGTTCAGAATGTGTTAAAATGTCTGAATAATCGTATTTTGCAACAGTAGTTCGCAATGTTCAAAAAATTGAGCAGGATATGAGCAGAAGAAGTGTTCATAACATCAAAATGTACGATCCGACGAATGTGTCGGAATTAGAATCCCAGGATATTTGTTTGTTTAAACCTTATCCCAATTGTAAAAAAATAAATCGACCTTAATCGTTTCATTTCGGGTTGATTATTGTATTGCGTACAATGTATATTATAAAATTATACATATGCAAATAATACATTATAAAATTTCTACGGACGAATTACAATCTTATAACGCCTGGTCATCATTTTTTATAGAGATTGCTTCGCAAAGTGGCCTTTTGTTCCTGAGACAATGTAAACAAGCTGCGCGTTGCGAATTAACGTACTATTTGATTATTCCGAGCTCGTTCCAAATTAACCCTTTGCACTCGAAGCCATTTTGACTGTAAATCTAAATCAATTTTTTTGACTTACGGTATTTCCATTTTACATGACAAAGTGCATTTTATGCATGTGAAATTCGGTCTTGCGACTCATACGACAGTTAGACTCTTAACAATTTTTTCTATCTAAACTTCGTTGATATCAAAATTATCTTGGAACGTGATACGACAATTTTAACGGTGCCTCGGAGTCACCACTCGCGAGCGCAAAGGGTTAAGGCATTTTGGTCTAAAGTTTATTATTATTATTATTATTACTTAGCTTACGTAACTCGGAAGTTACGATTTTCGTCCGGGAGTCTGATGTAATGCGCGCATGTAACGTCTGCGCGCCGTTTCGATCCGTTTCCCGTCGCTGCGCTACGCGCCGTTTCGCGAGATAACGCGTTTTAACAACGAGCTCCCGCCAAAATCGGTCCGCGGGCCCGTCTTTCGCCGATACGTTGCTTCAATTCGCCGACGAGCACGCGTCTTCCAAAACGGGCGCCGACTGTTTGTTTGCCGGCGCAACCGTGACCTCGCATATTTTATCACGCCGACCGGTCGCAGTTTATTTCTGCGAGTCGCATACTCTGCCGCGACGCAGGAATTTCATTTGATTTGATTTGATTTATTAACGGGCATAGCCCTTCGGCATAGACGGGAGAACAACGCGAACGGTAACGCGGACTTTTTCGGCGAAACGAACGTTGTCCCCGCGTCGATAACAGAGAACAGGAGTTACGTGCAAACACGTTTCATCCCTTAACTCGGCGGGAGGGCGGTTAAATTGATCGCGCGAGTAACCGAGTGAAATTCAGATTTCGAGATATATTTTAGATTTTTAAATTATATGTTTAATAATTATATGATTATGTAATTTTAATATTATATATTTTTTTTTGCAATTTAAAACACTGTACTTTAACACTAGATTTACGGAGCACAAAAAACAGCTGCTTTATATATGACTTTATAAAAGCAATAATGAGACATTTATTCTGATTTTTAACAAATGCTATCGTATCATTTAAATCGTACAGCATATGTATAGTGACATATAAATTGAACAAGTAATTCATAAATGTATCTTT